GACGTAATCTAATCTTTTTGGAGAGATTATTATTATTTACAAGGTCACTTTTAAGCATCTCGTTATCATATCATATAATTATCGAACAATATAACTACAGGCTTAACATGTTGATAATGCAGTTCGTTGCGAAATGAGGATTTTCGTGGGCAATCTTTTTTTGAAAATTTTCGTGATCTCGTATTTTTGTGACCATATAAAATATGATTGTTGACCCTCGCGTTACCAAGCTAACGAAGCTCAAAATGAATAATTAAGTAGCGCCAATGAATATTTATAGCTTGTTCAATCCAACGCATGAACAAATTTCTATACAGTATTTCTTACACCATGAGTGTGTGATGAGTTTAAAGAGTATTCTGTGATAGTGCCCGCATCATGTATATTTATAAGGAACTTGCAGAATTATTTCGTCAAATGCTTCTTCTTGGCCCTCGCTGAATTCACGAAGTTCCATAACAATTTTTGTAATTCCATTTATCAATTTCTCTCAACATATTTTTTAATGGTTTCTTGGATCGCATAGAATCTAACTAAAAATATACTTGTATGTTATTGAAAAATGCATTATAATACAATGTTTTTCAGGTTCTTAGATTTTAGATGAAAGAATAAAATAATTACTATGCTAATGCAAAAGAGAGTAAAAATGTATTAATTAAAAACATGTAAAATCAATAAATTTGACTTCGATGAGATAATAATTAAGCAAGACGGTAAATAAAAATTAACTATAATGAGGGACGAATTAAAGTTTTGTAAAATGCAATAACATAACAAATTTTTATTTTTATTTAATATAAATATTTTCTTTCACGTTCAATTCAATATAAATATTTCCTTTTATGTTAAATTTAATATGAACATTCTCTTTTATATTCAATTCAATTCTTATGTTCAAGCCACTCTCAAGTTTTAACTTAAAATAATAAAAAAAAATCGAGTACAATGTTAAATTAAATTATACATTAAATCAACCGAAAAAAAATTGACTTTCACCACTTTTGCTTTAAATAGCTGATTTCTACTCTGGGTCCGAATGGACCCGAGCTCCACTGACAAATGTTAAAATGCAGTGCAACGCAAATGCTTTTGTTATTAAAGATCTGTCGATGTTCGTTTTCCAGTGTAGTTGAATGGACGCTGTGAGTGGAGGGTCAATCGACGCATGGATTAATCAAGATTTCTGACAAGAAGGAAACGTGCGGCATGGGTCTGCCTCGTTTCTCTCTAAAGGGATCCTTTTTGTACGTGCTATGCTTGTCCGGACTGCTATTGGTCATCCTGAATTTGTTGCAAGACGAAATATGGCATCGTATGCGACCTCATCCTGGACAAACATTGTCGGCTCGCGTCTCCGACAACACAAAGGTACAGTAAATTGCCTAGTATCAAACCCACAACTTTATCACGATTCCACACATTGGCCTAAATCCACGTCCACTCGAGGACTTCGCACTATACACGAAACGCTTCTGATAACTATTAGCAATTCAAACAAGGAAAATTTAAACGAGTAGGGGAGCACTGCCATGAATGGGACACTTTTATTTCGGACAAGATAACAAAAACACTAAATGACATAACTAATTCTAGTTTTAAACATTCGAAAGATTAGTTCCTTTACTGTAACAATGTACAGTGTCAATGCGATTCTTCTATGTTCACTTGCTTTATTTTTATTTGTTTTTATGCATTTATCAATTGGTTGCATTAAATGGAACAGATTAACAAAGTAAAGCAATATTGGTATTAATCTTACAAGTTTCATTGTAAGTACAGTAGAGCCTTTCTTATCTGAAGGTTATCTAAAAACTTCAATCAAGTTCTCTACTAGATAACAATATATAAAAATAATATGATACTTCATACAACGTTGCAAGAGAAAAGGAAAAATATTAATTTTAAACATAAAAAAACGATTAGACAAATTTCAGAAAGTTCAGAAAAATTAGAAAATTATAGTATTAAAAAAGGATGAGACATTTTATTATAAAAAGAATTACAATTTTTGCGATATTGGTAATGTCCCATTCATGGTAACTCACCCCTATTCTAGACGTGCAATTTTAGAGTGATATTTGGGAATTAATTCTTCAAAACGATCGAATACGATAAATTGAAATTTTTCGTGTGTGTTTGTACGTGTCTGAAGCAGTAGCACAAATTTTTCTGTAACATACTGTTCGAAATTGTGGGAGTTCTTAACAAAATACATACTCGGATCATATCCGATCGAAGAATTCAGCAAACTGTGACAGAGCAAACTTTCGCTAGGTCTAAGAAACTTTAATATAATTTTTCAAAAATATCAGATTGAGGAAATTTTGTGCAATCAAAGCTTACATAACAAGGGAGATAGCATTCGGTGATTATCACATAAGCTTGATAAGAAGCATAGCGTTCTTCAACGGAACACTTTTACACTGTATTACGGACATACACTTATTAACAATCTTATCACTATGATAAAGTAGAGGTCATATAAATATTGCTGAACGTTTGTGTAATTTTTGTGGTAATTTATGTATTTACGTAGTCTTTCACTATCATAAGCGTTGTTGCAGTTGTTGAAAACTAGCAATACCTAGCTTGAGGAAAATCATGATTTCCCAGCTTCTATTTCAGTAAATAAATGTCAAAACTTCGACGTAGTTTACTGAGCAGTATTTTCTTTTGTATTTTGTGCGTTAATAAAAAAAATATTCTATACTGTGTGATAGACTGTAGCCTGTATTTTTTGTGTGGCATTTTTCTACAGGTAATTTCAAAATAACTTAATCACCTCAGTTTTCTTTATGCTTCTAAGCCCACTAATTAGTGACACAGATTTTGCAGTTTTTATCAAATTGATAAAATACAGAAAACAATGTGTTTGATAACTCTTGAACGTTTTCGTTTACGCAATGGACGATTAAATTATCAATGACATGTAGACTGCGGATCTTTATGCATTTATGCAAAATTATTAAAACGTAAAAAGCTGTAAAAATTGTCAGAAGATTTTGAATAATAAAACACGACGTATTATTGTCACATTTTAATTAATTATATTATTAGAGAATTTTCTTATGAAAAAATTAACAAGATCTAATAAAATTTTGATTTCAATTTTACAATAAAAGATCTTATAATTTTATAAAGTAACATATGAAAATGGGAATTTGCACATAGATCCACAGTCTAATTACAAGTCGTTGTAAGCAGACTATTTTTTGGTACATTAGAACAAGATATGATTATCATTTGATCGATATATTTTTTTTTTAATGCATACCTTTCTCTGAATGATAAGAATTGTTTAAGTGGTGCGTTATTAATAATGTTGATCTGTATTTCTCGCGAACAAGTCATTCACCAAACACAGAATTAAAGGGAGAAGAGAAAGCATTTGAGGACGCTATAAATGTCGAATTTTGATCGCAGATCAAACGAAATTGGCCTTCGAAATTGAAGAAGCCGACGATGCAGGTTCTGCAGACTCGGGAAAAAGGGAAGAAAAAGCTTCTGGTCGAGGTACAGTCATTAAGATGCAGTATCATTAGACGGCTGCAAGACAGTATCTGCGAAACATGCTCGAGACAACCTTTCCATCGTGTCATAAATTATTCCAGCTCTGTTTCTAATCACTTCTATTGATTTACCTGTGATTAACACTATTTTTCAACGAACACATCAAAAGACAATCTTGAACATTTTAATTTAAAATTGTTTTCTATGCAATTTTTCTGCAATTGACCTTTCAATTTTTCCTACAACATTTTCGAATGATATTAGATTATACGTAATCTAATTAAATCTAGATAAATCTAGATCAATCTAAATAAATTGTAGATAGAGATCATACAAATTAATTTGGTAAAAATTGATAAAGGGTGTACCAGAAGTCGCAAAGCGATATTAATGTTTAATAACTCTTTTATTTTCTATCTTAAATTATCGAAAATAAATTGTCAAAAAAGTTATTAATCATTAAAAAAGAAAATTATTAAATATTTCAACCCCTTCGTGACTTTCCATCTACCCTATGTATACAAGAAATCGGTAAAAATAGTGTTAAAAATACAATGACTATATTTGATAACATATACCAATAAAACATTGCTGAAGAAACATACAAAAAACTATTTCCATTTTTAAATAAAATTTTATCAGAAGATGCAAAAATTCAAATTTTTTATATAAATTATATTAATTAACTGTTATTGTGAAAGGATTATGTTGTATTTGGTGTGTTTAAAATTGTTCAATATCAAAGTTTCACGTGTTTACGTAGTTTTCCAAGTCCAAGGAACTAAAACCACGGATCATTAACATAAGATGCTAATTTGGTTGTCTCTGTTGTTTCTAAAATACAGCTGACGTTACATAGTTAGTTCTGGTTAGTGTAGTCTGGCTTGTTTCATGCGACACACAACGACTGCGTTGTAGGTACAGATACACGGCCTGTGATTCATTATCTCCCAAACGATTAGATATTAATTAATAATTCATCGTGTGTACGACTGCAGCGGATTGCATTCCGCGGTGAATCAATGATAAAATCGGACACGATTCTTAAATACAAGCGATTTGTCGATGTAGAACGATTAGTTTATGATGTAATAGTAATAATTCACGATCTTTCACGTGCATAACTTTTAATTTAACAACATTCGAGATTTATTTCGAGGTAACAACGTTCGAGGGTTCCGGAATAAACCTTTTAACAGTGATTCGTTCATTCTGGAAAATTAATGAGCAGAGCTTATACTTTCGGGCTTTTTAATTAGAGAAGTTCGTTGTCTGCGAATTTTACGTGTTCGATTGAATCGAGTATCTTCGAGAATTAAAGATGTTTTAAATATTGATATAATATTTGAAATTTGTTAGAATCATTGATTTCTTGCAACTGGAAAATTTGTTTTTGCACAAATATGCACGCAGTCGATTCATTAATAGTTAAATTTTCATTACTATCGATTATTTGTTACGAAACAGGGATGTAAAATATTTATCTTGCGTTTGCGATGAAATATCGATACTGTTACTGCTCACTGTTATCAAACTGAATTATCAGTTTCATAGATAGTTGTCGGCATTATTGATATTATATGTTGTTGGCATCACTGATATCATCTTTCTAACTTGTAAGCTCTTACAACCGTGTACTATAATTACATTACCTGTTAAAATTAAATTGTAACAATTCTTTTGGTAGATCTAGTCATCATTTAATTAGTTTTATTTCAGCTTTTACATGATGTTGCATTCGTATAATATCCACTTTTCGCTCATTTTTTAATAGTTGATAACAAATAAAAGTTGTTTATATGACACAATTTTTCAGCAATAAAGCGGACTTGAAATCTTTCTATTTATTTATCGACGATGGAAATGAATTCTTTCCGATTCGAATGATTAAAAATGAAATATGATTAAAAAATAAATGCAGGGGAGCTCGACTAGTGAAATTGTTATCAAACAACCTTAAATAGTTTTTACGGTAAATTCGGAATTTCAATGTTTGAATGTCAACAAAAGCGAATATTCTTTCAATTATTGAATAGCAATTGACATATATTTTCACTTAATATCTTATTGATCCTTATATGTTTTTTAGTTTAAAAATTCGTTAAAGAATTAAATAAATATAGTCAAACCTTTGCTTTCTTCCTGTTTATGTTACACATTTTATACTTTTAAACTGTACTAACTGTACTACAAATTGTACTAACAATATTTTTGCCAAAAGAGTCGAAAGATACTCGTTAAAATTAAATAAAATTATTTTCCAAGTGTTACTCACTCAATTGTTATGCAAATTCTCAGTTTCATACGTCATTTTATAAAAATTAGAATAAAACAAAGGTCTGTCTTGTCAACTAAAGATTACGTATTGCGATAAATAAAATTAATATCTTATTAGACCTTTCGCATTTTAAGACTAGATATATATAAAATATTGGTAAATATAGCATTGAAGTGCAAAGTTAAATTGGCAGAAGTATTATTTTAGAATTTCCTGTGAACAATTGATCTGTCGTTTGCATTTTATTAGCTATTCGAAGGGTAAAAGGGCATTGCAATATCGCTATTCGAAACGCTGCATTTATCATAGGGAATTAATCGGAAAGAATGTACGTCTACACTTAATATTTCCGAACGAGTCACGCGACTGCGAACGCGTCAAGGATGCATACCATTGTGTATTTCAAAGTATTACATAAATACCGAAGTGTTACAGATACTTATCTGCAAAATTATTACCGATATTGTACTCGCAAATGCGGTCGACATTAGCTTCTCTATTGCTCTGTTCCCAGTGGTAAGCACTCGACGACAATCCCACTGTATCATCGAAGTAAGAGAACGATGAGTGTGTGATATCACGATTCTAAACATTTCGAATTCTTTACACGATTTTCTGTCCGCGGTGCAATAACAAATTATTATTCCAATACATTATTGCAAGAGAAAATTACGTGAATTGCATTAAGAATTAAATAAAATCGACTAGGAAACTCATTAAAATATCTGCCTGCCTGCTCTGAATATTAAACAGATCATTCTTAAATTGTTGCATTCTTCTCTTAATGAAAAATTATTTTACAATTAATTAGGTTTCGATAAAACTACATTATAAGTAGAGTCGACGAGATGAGCATCGGAGCATTCTTACTCATCAATTTTCTATTCCTGTTTTAAAGAAAAACACTTTTACGATTACTAGACTGTGGTTCGTTATGCAAAATAAAAATTATCTGTATTAATTGCAGATAGACATCGAATAAAGTTCTTTGTGTCTTTAATAATTTTTATACACTTACGGATAAAAATATGAGTAAAATGTGACATTTTAACAAATATAAATTTTATTCAATTACAAGTACATATTATTTAGTGCATACGACAAATAGAAGAAATAATAAAAATTTAAAAAAATAGAAAAGAATCAAGAAAGCAAGATTATATATTATATAATTTCTTTATAATTATAAATAAAATAAAATTCATATTTTCGTTCAATGCAAATCTTTATACTATGTTAATAAGGTTTACTGCACTCAAGAATATGCATTCGTGTAACATGTTTCTTAACTTTTATCGTTAAGTGTATATTGACCCTAATACTCTGACTGTTTAACATTCGTTTGATCTTCCCACTATTTTAAATTTCGCCTACTTTATCTCGTTACAAATGCATCAAATCCACAGTCCAAATTACTGAGCCTCGATAGATCCATCGTAATGCATAGAAACGACGAGGTGAGCATTAGGGTAGTCTTATTTATGCATTTTCTATTCTTGTTTTAAAGGAAAATAGTTTCACAATTACTAGACTGCGGATCATTGTGCAGAATAAAAGAGCCAAATGGAAAGTTGACTTTAATAGCTTTTATAGATTAAAAGTGCTATATTGGCAGTCTTAAATTCTATCCACCATTTTGAATTTCACCTGATCAATCTTGATACAAGTGTGCATAAGATCCACGGTCTAACGATTAATGAAGTCTCGATAAATCCACGATAACGAATAGAAACGACGAGGTGAGCATTAGAGCATTTTAATTGTATATTCTGCTTTTAAAGAAACATTCTTTTACAATTACCGAGTCTCGCTAAATCTACAATAGCGAATAGAAACGACGAGGTGAGCATTAGATCATTCAAGTTTTATATTCCGCTTTTAAAGGGACATTCTTTTACAATTACCGAGTCTCGATAAGTCCACGATAATGAGTAGAAGCGACCAGGTGAGCATTAAGTCGCAGCACAACCGCTTCTGGATCGTTAGCTGTACGTTGGAAGAAAGTATGGGTGGCTATTGATTGATGCGAGACGTGTGTAATAATACGATTCTGTTTGTTTAAAGGTTGCCAATCTGACCGGCATTGCAACGTTGTCGCGAAACACTGTGGACGCGTTAGATCCATCGCGGAGGCCTTGGTATATGAAAAAAGGAATCAGAAGACCTTTCCCCGCTCTAAAATCAAATCGCACTGGACGAAGACTGGCCCGACTGTGGCCCGAAGAAGATGCTTACGATGACCGTATCACGAATCAGGTGAGAATCGTACAAAAATAAGGGAAATCTAACTTAATCCCTTGCTCTACGATGTCTTACACTGCCGCGTTGAGTAGCACTCTTTTGTCGCTAATAATTTCGCTAATAAGACGAGACAGTTGTACAAAAAACGAAAATTGTCTGGACATACGAAAAATAAAATCTACGTTGAACTAGATTAGAGAACTTCGAGCTGAGACAACGCATATGCAAATTGATAAAAATGTAATTTTTCACTGTAATTAAGTAACTCTGCTATTAGGTAAACATTCGTGTTACTTTAATTAGTCTGGATAATCGAGTATTTTCATTCTTAAATTTTGATAACAGAACAATCAAATTTTCCTCTGACGTAGAAGTTGGTTTAGAAGAATCTTCATTAAGTAAATTGTTAGGCTGTTGAAATCATATTTTAATTTTATGCTGATAATTAGGCTAAGTACATGTTGATGTAACTGTATGAAGATTAATATAAACTTTCATTGAATATCAAATGTGCTAATTTAATATACGTATAGTTTTATGACTATACGATCATATAAGTATAAACAGATATGACTACATATATAACTATATAATTATTATAACTAGATAAACTATATAATTATATGTGTAACTACATAACAATATAAGTGTATACTTACACATATAATTATTCTAATGTTCTCTCCTATTAGTTTTCGTTTTTTAAAAATATCACTTCGATATCATTCCAGAATAATTCTAAACGCAATTACCTAATGTTTGTCGAGATGATCCACTATTTCTACTTAAGGAATAAAGATATCTCGATTTTATCGATTTAAACGATGGTTATACACTTGATATCGTCATCCACGATTAACGCTATAAAATAAACTTTACGTTAAAATAAAAGGATCAGTCAAATCTCATTAGGTTTACTATCTAAAAGAACACTTGCTAAAAAATTCCACCGACAGTCTTTAATTAGCTAAAGCATGAAAATAATAGGATCAACGATGGGGTTAACTCGTGCTCTTCATTTCACTCTAAAAGAACGTGTCACACAATTTGGTCAGGCTTATGCACACATTTAGGCTACCACGAGTAGTCGGCGAGTGAGAGGACACGGGCACACGGAAAGTTAGATGTTAATTTACCATGTCAAATGAATTGCATATGGAGTTACGACGCTGTCCTCGAGTGCACTAGACTGAAATAAGAACACGTCACGTCGCCCAGTAGCTTTCATTGAAATTCCGCGCACGCACACGTACACGGCACTGTTCACCCCTTTTGTTTACAACACTGCGGAATCTATTGTCCGCGTATTTGGCACATCGTTCTCAAAGAATTACGGAGGTGTAAGAAACATTTTTAAGCTGCTGTGATTCTTCCCCGGCTTTCCCGCCATTCCCGGGGGCTGTCGTTACCGCGGTCGCGAATTGTTTTCCTATGAAAGACCGGATTCTGCATCGTGTACATTAATTACTTTTACCTGCGTTCTTGGTTCGGAATTGATGTTCAGCAGGAAACAAAAATGCTTCTTTGACAAAGAGAGAAGAGTATTCATTTATCAAGCTGTTCACGGCGAATAGAGTACGAGCATTCATCTCACTTTTACAATAGACTGCGGATATCTTATTAAAATTTCGATGTTCGAAAAGTTACTGTGATAGAACACTGAATGCAGTTAACGAGGCTTTAATTTTATTCAAGTCTTAATGACATTCTTTCAAGTTGCTAGAAGATGTAGCTTTTTATTCAACTTCAGCTTCTGTTGACCCCTCGCGCTATAATAAAGAGTCATGCTCGTCGTAGAGATTTCATACATAATTATTCATTTCCTTTAAATCGAAATAAAATGATTCTTCAATTATCAGAATATAGGAATGAAAGTAGGTGAAACAAAAATTATTTATCAGAGAAATTATTAACCCCTTACATGAATTTTAAGTCGAAATATAATTTAATTTATCATCTATTTATCAGTAGATTGTGGATCTTTATGCCAAATAAAAGCATTCTAAATCAGTTATACGAATCAGAATTGAAATAAAAATGTATTTTATCTTTTAATAATTTTACAACAATGTTCCCAAAGTCTAGTCTCTTCATGGTTTTGTATTTCATTTGCATATTTGTCCTACAAATGCATAAAATCCGCAGTCTAGTTATCGATACTTGATCATCAGAGTTAATGCAGACATGTAATAGATATAAATTTTCCGACTGTGAGAATTATATAAAGAACAAAGAAGCTGAAATTTAAACAGTTAATGTACAGTGTGCCGCATTTTTGCAGTTAATGTTCGTGCCAAACAATTACAATAAAACACTCACGGAGCATCAATTGAAGAAAATAATGGTACCGCATGGTATGTCTGAAGCCAAAGTTGGCCAGGATATATTTCTTCAGCATCATTGTCCAGTGAACACGTGTACAATTATTAGGGACGATCCCAGCGAAGCGGATTTGATCCTTTTCAAGGATTATGTGACGCACGTGGGCAGATCACCCAAACAGGTATGTAAAAATTTACATTCTGATCGATGAAACGGAAATATTCTTCGTAGCAAAGATTGTATTCGCATCACGTTAATTTTCGTTAATAAATTAACAATATGTTTTCTTTTATATTCGTTATAAAAAATTATTGGTTTAGAAATTATAGAACTCAACGAATTTCCAACCCCCAATTATAATTATTGATCTCACCCTATAATTGTGAAGTATATGTGAGAAAACGGTGGTTAAATATTGCATGTTCAGAAGTGTGAACGTATTTAGACTATTTTGGACTATAGAATGGCTTTTAATTAATATGAAGATATAGTTTGAAATGTAGTTATATACGTCGAATGAGACTGATGCGATTTTCAACAGGTGTGGATGCTGTATTTTTTAGAATGTCCTTATCACACACAAAACGTGAAGAACGCAATCATCAATTGGACGGCAACTTATCGGCGTGACAGCGACATAGTCGCGCCCTATGAAAGATGGCAGTATTACGACTCTAGCATTACGCAAATAGCGCAATCGTTTAACTATGCAGCTAACAAGACTAAAAAGGTAACAATCTATTCTTCCAAATTCATTTCCCAAAAACAATAATCGCTTGCAATATTCAACGTTCTATCGAACACACAAATTTGTTTATAATATGTAAATTAATTGACGCTGTGCGTTCGCGAAATGTGAAATGAATGTCTGTACTTTGATAAAAATTAGGGGAAGATTGCATTTTGTAAGAAATATTGTATATACCTAAATTCGTAACTCGCAAATTCTGTATTTCTAAATTAATCTTGATGGAAAAGCACTTAATTCTAAAGATTTTTAAGTATTTTTTAAGTATTTTTCAATACTTTATTATTTTTAACTATTTTAAGTTTTATTAGGATTCTTAATGATTATGCTATATTTGAAAGTAAAATGAAAAGAAAAGTTTAATATCATCTCTTATGATATTACGTTACCGAAGGTAACTTATTGGTTCGCGAACAGAATTGCTATTATTATCAAATAATTCATCAAGATGCATATTATTTTTAGCTTCTGTTATTAGTCTTCGATTTCAATTAGATTTGTTAATGTACTAACACTCTGGTTACCATTTTAGGTAGCCTGGTTTGTTTCCAATTGCCATCCCAGAAATCAGCGTATGCTTTACGCTAAGGAACTATCGAAGCACATTCAAGTGGACATTTATGGGACCTGCGGTACTCTAAGGTGTCCGCGTTCGCAAGCTCAAGCCTGTTTCGATATGCTTGACGATGACTACAAGTTCTACCTTGCCTTCGAGAACTCGAACTGCAAGGATTACATTACGGAAAAATTCTTCGTCAACGGCCTTGGGTATGTAACATTTTTTATATTCCTTTCTGTCTTAATCAAAGATGCTTAATAAAATTATATTGCAACGTCGAAACTATAATTTAAGGACAGGTTTATGCGCCTCTTTGTTCGCCATTTTGAAGAAGAAAACAATTCTATTCTTTTTTATTTTAATTAAATATAATAATAACCATTTTATCGAAGTTCTGTTTGAATATTTTTTGCAATACTTTTTGAAACACATGATCCACATGATTTAATCGAATCATATTAAAACTGCAGAACTATAATTTCAGAACAGTTTTAAGCGCATCGCCGACCGCCATTTTATCTCGTCGGAAATATCTAGTAGCTATTGCAGCAAATCAGTATTTCCAACGAGACATTATTTCTATGGGAAATATTTGAACGACTATAATCCACTGTCTACAGACAATTTGTTTAAAAATGAAGGAGTTCTGAGTCGTTTAAAGAATGTGACAGAATTTTGTTAGGTTGTTACTGTAATTACAGAAGTGTGCTTTCCACACAGCTGTTGTCACCCTTGTTTAGTGCACTTTCGTATATGTAGTGGTCCTTAAGATTCCCTCCTGTCCTACTTCGTTCGAGTGCTGTCATCACCGAGATTTCGGTACGAGGGTGAATGTTACCAGAAAGCAAAGTATCGTTAAACTTCACTAAGATATGTCCTACTTTCTGTTTTTTATTTCCATAAAAAACTCTTTTCATTTCGTTTTAATGAGACACGGAAAGAGAACCGAACATTTCTTCTTTCATTTCCATATATCCAGAAACGAAGAAGATGATAAATTCTATTCATTTATTTAAAAATATTTTATAGAAAAATTAAATATTTGCTGCTAAATATAATAATATAATAATAGATTAATTACTTGTAATGCACGGGTAATTTATTTAACAGCATTAACTTACCTAATTTGCAATTCAATAAACCACACTTTAAATTAACCTAGTTGTGCTAATGTAACTTGATCAACTTAATTAAAAATGTGTATAATCTTTAATTAAATGTTTTCATGTTAATACTAAACAATTAAAGGCTGCAAGGTCGGATAGCAATTTTTAAAGCCATCAACAATCACGGACGAAGGAACAGTCCAATTATTAAACAAAAATTACATTGAACATGAGATTCCTTAAAAATGAATTTTTATGTCAATATCACGCATTTAGAAAATACCATATATTCAAGTGAAAACAATCAATATCAATATCACGCATTTAGAAAATACCATATATTCAAGTGAAAACATTAATGATATTTTTCTTCCTATCTTCTTCGAATAGTAATCAGTCCTTTTAGTTTTATAAACACCCATTCAAAATTCCCGCGCTTTTCGTGCTAGTCCCGAATACCGATTGACCAAATTTACAATTTCAAAATTCCCACGCTGTCTGTATATGTATTGGCTACACTTAAAAAGTATTATCAGAGACAATAGCATCGAGTTTATAAAAATCCTTATTTATCATTACCAAATTTGTAGCAATGTAACAATTAAATATGTCAAAATCTTTTATTATCCAAGATACTCTTGAATCTAATTAAAAAACATATTAAAAAACATGTGCAATATGAATAATCTTAGTAGTCTGAAAGTAGTCTAATACTGTTCATAATAATAATCCTTATTTATTATTACCAAATCCGAAACAACATAACGATTAAATATTTTAAAATTACCGTCTATCGAATCCACTCCGGACCTTCTCTCCTTACTTTAGAAAACAAAGACGAACCTTAACCTTAATTGATAAATTAAGAAGAAGATAGTGTAGTACCACTTACAGTAACGATCCATTTTGTTCTTTACCATATTAGCCACCTGTGCCTTGATTTTGGATGTGATATACATACACTTCAATTATCGTTCTTTTCCAGACACAACGTTCTGCCTATCGTGATGGGTGCACATCCAACGGATTACGCTCGCAGCGCGCCCTACCGGTCATATATTCACGTAGATGAGTTCGAGTCGCCGAAGGAGCTGGCGGAGTATCTTCATCGCCTGGACCGAGATGATGAGCTGTACAACTCTTATTTCCGTTGGAAGGGCACCGGCGAGTTCATCAATACTTATTTCTGGTGTCGGGTGTGCGCAATGTTACACGACGAACGGCCGCCGAAATCTTACAAAGACGTGAACGAATGGTGGCGGGGCGACGGCGTCTGCACGACTAGCTCATGGCGCGAACACGACTTGGCGCGCGCGGGAAATTTGAAAACCACCTGAGGACGTTCCGTGTGAGACCCGTGATTCGAATTCTGTGAAACGACGCGTTCTGATCGACCGTGATCTCGTCGTCCGGACTTCCAAAGGGAGTAAGTAGAAGACTTGTTGTTGACAGGGAGAACGATTAGATTATGCCGATCTTTGACCCACGGAGATTCTCTCGTGTTTTCACGCCGCGGGTGTGCGAGGAGGAACGTAGCCTGCATAGAAAAGACTGCCGACTGCGAATTCGATGGATAAACGATTCGACATACCGAAGAATTTGTACTTTTCGACGAACAACGTGGACTTTTACACATCAAGCTAGTATCTAACGCGAATGATGTGATAGGAATCTAATCGTACAATTATATTATTCGATTGTTTGGGTTTGATGCGTTCGACGAATTCGATGTTCCTGCGTTTGAATCTTTTAGTCGTTCAGGTTTCGTGGTAGCTCGTACAAATCACACTGGTGCTGATCCGTAAGATGTCCTAACAAGAGCGCACGATTTCTTCTTCGTACACATCATTGTTTCAAAAAATGCGGATATTTTTCTTTTAGTGTTAAATATTTACATTGTAATTAAATGTGGAGCAGAATATGATTCACTTTCGCTCATCTGACGGAGTTTCTGATTTAATTTTCGCATGATTGCGTTGATTCGATTTTGGCACTGGTGCGTTGAATCTCCGTTTTGAAATTGACGGGCCGGATCTCCGTTTGAAGATGGCGCGGAATTCAAGTCTTGCGCTCTTGATGGCAATTTTATACTTTAATTGTTGGTTGTCGAAGATGGTTACGCACAGAGCAATTTGTTTTAGTATATCGTTCGATATGAATTTTGTAGCGTTCCTTCAACGATTCTGTCTATTTGGATGAAATTTTACTTACGTTTGTTTGGTGAGTCAATGACCAATATTCAAGCTGAAAATTTGTATTTGGTTTCATAAAAGGTACCAAGGTAGTGTGACGGTTGTCACTGATATTACAAGTTGCTAAAAATTTTGATTTATATGAAGGAATCAATCGAATATATTCATCTACATATTTGAAATTGTAACAAAATTGTGCAACACGCACAATATGTCAATCTGAGAAGTACGCAATGAAGTTTTTATCAGAATTTCTTTCTATGTAATGTAATTACATCTTGTAAGAAATTAATCTTGTCAATCGTTACACACAAAACAATATTTTTTAATTCTGAAAGTAAATAGAAATCGATGATACTAAATAAGAGCATCAAATTTGAGCATATGAATGTTAATGTAGCTTTAAATGTTCCTGGAAATCCAAAGATGTAGACCTGTAAAGTTTATGTTTGTCCATCGTTTAGATATATATTCATTGCACGCATTACCAGCATGTTCAATGAATATTTATCAGTTTTTAGATAAACTGCTCATGTGGGTTCGAATCTTGAGGGCATTCGCTTTACACTTATTTAAATGTCAGTTATAGAAACTGCGTACGTATAGACTTGGAATCATAAACTACACTGTATAGGAGATAGTAATAATTTTTTCTACTCTTTCCATGACTTTTGATAAAAAGAAAAATGCAATGTTTACACGAAGAAGAAATATCTAACAGTATTGCAACATACCATCCACCAGACATGTTTATTTTTAAAGAATGACGCTTTATTTTGATTAGATACTATTGGGTAGGCCACTCTTCTAATTCATTGTTTTGCAATGACACCAATTGAAAGGTCAGAATACATGGTAATATATAATTACGTCCTCTGTGTAACAATTTAATGGTACAATTATTTGTTCAATGGGAAGTCAATCTTCATTTGAATCCAATAACTTTTATATTGTTTAGTATGTTGCAAAGAGACAGTTATTGGCATAATGCACCACTGTTCCATATTAAACACACTTTACAACTGCAAGAAGAATTGTGTAGGTCGTTTGAAAGAATGGAAATATTTCAAGTGAACAAATTGATGTCTCATATAATATATTATATGTATATTTACACAATATGGTATCAGGACAAGCTAAATGGAAGGAAAACTCGCAAAGTTAGGGAATTACAAGATTGTGTAACCATGTGATCAAGTAGAATAATTAGTCCCCAACACAAATTTATCAAATGATTTACATAATTATGTAATATATTTTGCATTAATTTGTTAAGTATAAAAATCTCATTTTAAGGGTCATAGACAGAAATTATTTGAAAATTTCCATAATTATTTTCTCATAGTTTTGAATATGAAAAAAAGATCCAACTTTTAGTTGAACTTTCCTTTGGAGTCTTTTATTATTATAAAAGCATTTCATAATTCCGAGCTAGTTACCTCGAACAAACATTATCTACACACAGAGTTCCATAATTTTCTGAATTCCCCTAGCTTCCGTTGCGTATACTAAGACTCTCAGAATGTGATGTCTACTAATTAACGGTATATTGACGTCGATGTACAATGATAGGCTAATGATTTCTGTGAATATTCTTGAGCTTTAAGTGCAGCTACATAGTAATTCAAGTTCTAAGATTATTCATGATGAATGGAATTGATAAATGTACAAAACCTAACAAGATATTCGTGCATAAACGAGAATTGTTTATCGTTCGTATAGTACGAACCAATTAGAACTCACCCCCTTTCGGTTTGAACCTACACGCGCCAGTTTCTAGTAGTACGAGTCGGCGTTTGGTGATCACACCTTCCCAAATATTCTGGAAAACTAATAAATTCTCGCCTCGGTTATCTTCGAACTCTACGATCTCCGTACGTTCTGGAGTAAAATACTAAATTAAGTTTTCGAACGCAAGCGTTGTGAGTGAGTAAAAGTTTGGTCGGTCGCCGACCACTGCCACAGACAATGAATTTTCATGTTACATCGGTGTGTATTCGATACATTGTAAATGTACAGTTGTTGTTTGTAACATATGTCGTCACGTATGTGAGATTTTTATCGAGTCTAGTCGAATGTAACTTCGTCGAAGCTGTTCTTCGAGTTCTTTTTCATCGCTACACACACGGCGAGTACCTGTCCGAATGATTCCTAATTTATTTTCGGTGGTAATTAACTCGGCAGACCGAGTTCCCAATTTGGAAATTTAAATAATTATTAAACTCTCGATTAATCTATTTTTTACTGCTTAAATTCACTGTAATAATTGTCAATTTTAATTTGTAACTTCTCCTATTTGTTTAAACGATCGACAAATCTCTCGATCTAAATCTAATTGAAGAAAATAATTTTTATCTGAAAATATCTTTTCTACTTATTAACAAATAAAATTGAAACATATATAAATTGTTTAATTTAATTTCTAAAATTGAATTGTTGTGACCAAAGGTTTCATTATTTTTGAAATTTCTGAACTGGGAATCTACTTGTTGTTTATCCTTTAAGTTCGCACGGAATTGTTTAAGGGGTTTGCGAATAATTAGCGAATTTAGATTATTATAATAAAAGTCACCGATTTGAAAACCCTTTTTACATTTCGTTTAGTAGAATCGTACGTCAATTTTATGTTGATCGACTAGAATAATTTTAGTTTATTGTGTCGAGGAAATGGTTACGTACGCTGCTACTATTTTATAATAATTATCATGTGTTCCAACCGAGTTTGTATTATTTCTGCACGAGCTGGTAGTGTCAGCGATACATTCACGAGGCGTTTACGTTAACAGTATCGTACAAAAGCTAGTATGTATAGCAATTGTGGAAAGACATTATATTTTAAGCAGTAATTTGTATAATAGCGTTCAGCTGTTTCATTAGGGCTGCAAAGGTATAATAATTATCGATATCGTCGATTGCAAATTTTTTCTATATCGAATGCAAGTGAAAGACAGTATGTGAGAAATTTTAGAGAATGTATAGCTTTAGTTCGGTACACTTGCACTATTAGTTAAAACAAACACAGCTGCAATCTTAGATGGTTGTTAATGAGGTTTAAACAAATTCCTTTTTGGAAATATGCGAATTTTATACCACGTTTCTAATGATACTTTCAATCATTATATAGACATTTTTGCTGTATGTCCTTTCTCCAGTACATATATGTATCAATGAATGCGAATCGAACGCGTTACATAATGCATCTAACGCAGGTTCTGTAAAAAAAAAAACGGAGGATAATTAACAATTAATTGATAATCGATCTCAATCTTTCTGTTCTAAATGCTAAATTACACATATCAGTCTAGCAATTGCAAATTGTGCTGGACTTAGACGTGAAAGTAAGAGTACAATTAGAGCTGGCTTTCTGGATAGCATAAATCACACCTTAATCCCTCGTCTTACGATATTTTCAATAATTATAGCTGATGAATTTGCTCCATCGTTATTAAGAAGTCGCATACATTCAGATTTATATCTGAAAATTTTATTTATAAGATTATATTTCATGGATTAATCGATTATATTTTTTGAAAGTATGTTTCGTAGTGTTTCCTGAAAATTTTGCTTGCATAAATTCTATTTATATTAATTTTATATTAATATTATTAATTGATTTAATTTATATTAACGTTATTTATTTATTTTATATAAATATTAATATTAACATGTAAATTCGTTTAAATAGCTATGCACACTTTACAATTTTCATATAATTATCATTTATCGATCATGAATGTGTGTTGAGTTAATAAATAATTGCGATCAGTATTTCATATTTTGCAAAGCCGGATCCATTCGAATAAATGATCTGTATGTTCCCAAAATTTATACTGATTGTTAGAAATAATGATTTGATTTGTTTTCGCAAGACGAGAGGTTAAAGACGCTTTCAGGCGACCTAATTCATAAATAGGCAATTAATCCAGACCGGAAGTAGCATAAAAATCTTGCACACGTGGAATGCACGCATGGAAACTATAATCGAGTTACTTCATTGTGGATATCTTGCCACGGCTTTCAATCGGTTCCTATTATGATGTCCATCGTTCGGAGTACGCACAAGCAAAGCTAGGTACTTAGATAATTCATTGACTGATTGATTATCTCGACATCAGGCATGCAATCAGGGAATATGCGGCAATTAAATCGATTTCTCCATATTTTCCTCGTGTACATACTATTCTATACGTACTCTCAGTTCCAAAAGTTTATATACTTATGTTATACTAAATTTACGACTTTTAAGAAATCAATATTTTATATGAATTCTAATTCATATAAAATTAATAAATCAATTAATTAAATTAATTAATTTTAAGACAAATTCTGAGAAAATTAAAATGTCGATTAATTATTTCAGACAAATTCTGAGAAACTTAAAATATTGATTAATTTTTCAAACTCTGAAAAAATTCAAACATTCGTCGATTGTAAGAACAG